CATTTGGCACAACCCACATTAAAAAAGAAAAAGATAAAAGGAGAAAGCACAATGCCAGCAATGCTCCAAGGAGCCATGCCTACGATTTAAATTCAGCTTTAGGTTATTTCTAACTTATGTGACCAATATGAGCTACGTGGGGTAGGGTGACACACGCAGGTTTTGAACTTGACGGCGTTACCCAGTGTTTCCATACCCCCCCCCACTTCTGAATAATTTCTGGTAGGATTATATACTGCATTTACAGCTGTGCGATGTGCAGTGGCCATAAAACCATCCGTTTGTATAATCTCGGGGCAAAAAACACCACAAAGGGAAGCAATGGGACTGGGAAAATGATCGATCTTCATTTACGCATTTAAAATTTTTCTCACTGTGAGAGCCTGGTGAGGTGGATGTCTTCCTGTGAAAACCACAGAGAGCCAGCTGCCTTTTCCTCGTGCAACAAACATCAGCAGAGACAATAACATTAAGGATTCATAATCCCACACAGAAGAACACAACATTATCCTAACTAAATTTTCTCCTTTTGCATCCCCACGACTTATTAATACACAGGATAAAAAGCTATGGGAGCTCCAGCTTCCTCAGCGTATGTGATGGAGATCACATTCCAGCTGTTCGATTTGGAAGCCGTTGTCCCAGAGTCATCAAGTTCTGGTGGAAATAAACGAAAGGGGGACGTCGGATCCTTGCGGTTTGTCTGAACACACGGCCTTCGTTTCTCCTCTTCACTATGTCCAAACTACCCCTGAAATCCAAAATGCTCTCCATCTTCTCAGTTCCGTGGAATTCTTACCTCCAGTGAGACTGCGCGTGGCCCTCAGACTGCGATAAATACCTCGAGCATTTAAAATCCTGTTCTAGGGAAGAGACACCGATTGTGGCTCCACCATCATGCAATCTTTTTTGCCCATTCTCTATCCTTTTCAACCCCCTCCCCCCACCCCCATTGTCTCCAGGACTGTGGCTTCCTGCCGGCCAAGTCTCAACCCTCTCTTGACACGCTCTTCCTGATTTGAATATTACCAACGTGTGGATGACGCTCAGATTTAGGTTGCTTTTCCAGACTTCTCCCCTGAGCTACAGACGTGTGTCCAATTGAATGTTGGACGTCTGCACAAGTGCACCTGGCAGGCATCTCAAATTCCACAAAGCTGGAATAGAAGATGGCTTTTCACCCCACCCTGTTCCCTAGAAAAGGGAGTCTCTGGCATCTGCTTTCACCAGTCTGTGGCACTGAAGCATCATTGCTCAGACTTAACATCTGGGTGTCACCTTCCATTTCCTGTTCTTCACGTTCCCCATCCAGCCAATCCACCAGAGTGACTTCACAGAAACCTTTTCTAATAGCTCATTCATTTATTCGTTTGAAAATTGTCTCTCCTGTTACTCTGCTTCACTCTGAAGAGTCAGGAGAGATGCTCCAAAGAGTGGCAGGAGGTTTTAGGCAATGTGGTGGGGTGAGAACAGAGGGTCATCGGCTCTTCTTGGCATCTTTCCGTGCCCTGTGTTCATTGAGGCAATCTTCCTTATTGCCTGGTCACTGCTTGTTCCACTGGGGTTGGCAGCTGATGTAACTCATGATAAGGCCTTCTGCCTGGTCAGGGCCCAATGGTGGCCCCTGGATGATTCGGCCACCCCTCAGATCTTACTGAGGCTTCTGTGACATCTTCTGTCATTACTTCCATACAACCCTTGACCAGGCTGCTTTATCCTGCAGCTGAGGCTGTGGGATGGCCAACCAGGGCCGCCATCAAGGTGCCACGGCGGTATTGACTGCCTCGCCACTCCGTTGCGCTTCCAGCTTCTTCCATCTTTTCAGGTTTGTCCCCATGTTCCCAGGGATAGGGAATCACACCTCTACCATATGCTTTGTGCCCTACACTTTTAGTGTTAGCTTCAAACACTACAGTTTTGGTGGAGCATAGAGGCTATACTTCAAGTTTCCATCAGCTACTTTGCATCACCTCCTTTTCTTAGCCCAAAGACTAGAATGTAAGGATGGGAACTATAGATCTGAGAATCTGCCTCTGTCGCTCCTAATTCTATACCTGTCACTCCTCCCTGCCAGCTCCCAAGGAACAAGGGACAACCTTCAAACTTTTATACACTCTAAATAATATCTTCTTCCATCC